TGTGCGTGCGCGTGTGCGTGTGTGCGGGGAGGGTGGGGGAAAGTTGTGCCGCGCTCGGACCTCGACCCCGTCGGAGCACCGCGCACAGATGAGCGCCCGGCCTGCAGTGCCACCGGAGGTAGAGGGTGTATGCGACAAGCGTGGCGGGCGGGCGGGGCTGACAGTCTGGGTAGCGGCGTGACAATGCCACCGTAAGAGAGGGGGGGGGGGTGGGGGGGGGGGGGGGGGGGGGGGGGAGGGGGGGGGGGGGGATGGGGGCGGGGGGGGGGGGGGGGGGGGGGGTGGGGGGGGGAGGGGGGGGGAGGGGGGGGGGGGGGGGGGCGGGGAGGGGGGTGACGGGGGGGGGGGGGGGGGGGGTGGGGGGGGGGGGGGGGGGGGGGGGGGGGGGGCGGGGGCTGGGGTGGGGGGGGTCTAGAGGATCCCGCAGGCACTCCTTTCCTTCGGGGGGGGGGGGGGGGGCAATATGGCGCCGCCTGCTCGCGGCCGCCTCGGAAGCCGCCTCCGCCTCCGCCTCCGCACGCCCTCCTGCTGCCCTCGGTGCCGCTCCACCGCCGGAGGGCCGCCCAGTCGCCCTTGCCCTCCGCGACGTGGTAGTGGTTAAAGATTGCCTGCGTGCGACACACCGGGCGAGGGGGCTGACCCGCGCCGCCCGGCGCCTTGCCCTCCTCTGCACGGCTCTGAGGCGGAGGGGAGGCGGAGGTGCGGCGCCTGCATCCGCTGCTGCTTCTCGGGGTGGTAGTTGGTGTGGACGGAGACGGGCCGGTGGTGGCGCCAGGTGGGCTCGTTGAGGAGGTGGCGGAAGAACCACCTGCGTGGGCGGCGCGAGGTGGAGGCAGGCAGAGCTGCACCCGGCGGCATGGCTGAGGGCGGCCATATCTCGGCCATGTCTAAGCCATGTCTAAGCCATGTCTAAGCCATGTCTAAGCCATGTCTAAGCCATGTCTGCCATGTCTAAGCCATGTCTAAGCCATGTCTAAGCCATGTCTAAGCCATGTCTAAGCCATGTCTAAGCCATGTCTCGGCCATGTCGCGCTTCGTGTTGCAGTAGCAACCGTAGGAGAGGACGCGCAGCGACACGCGCGAGCCGACCCGCCCCTTGAGGCCGAGAGCGGGCCAGAGCCCCTCCTGCGAGTATGCGCTCTGGTCCCACACCTGCATCACCACCAACGCATCCCCTCACCCCTCACCCCTTCACCACTCGCCGCTGCGTCGTGCGGGTAGGCGCTCTCGTCCCACACCTGCTCCGATGCCATCCGGCGGGCCAGCGTGCGCATCATCCGCAGCGTGGCCTAGCGCAGCGTGGCTGAGGGAGGGTCAGGGCAGGGTCAGAGCCAGCCAGCGTGCGCTATCACTCGCAGCGTGGCCGAAGTCGACCGCACGTAGAACTGGCCGCTGTTCCGCGCCTACGGGCAAGCTCCGGCCGGGCTCAGCATGCCCCCGCACGTAGAGACGCATCCCGAGAGGCCACCCGCGCCCAGAAGCGAAGCATCCGGCGCGGCGGCGGCGGCTGCGCGGCGGCGGCGGCGTCGGCGGCCTGCTGCGGCGTGCGCAGCGCTTCGCCGTCGTCGGCGCTCGGCTCCGAGGCGGCGAGCAGCGCCATGTGCCAGCCGTACGCCGTCTCGTCAGACCAGCCGTCCGTCATCGCCTGCAGCTCGGGCCAATCTCGGGTCAATCTCGGGCCAATCTCGGGTCGAGGCAGCCTCCAGGAGGGGTCCAGGAGGTGTCTACGAAGGGCCTGGGCAGTGTCTGGGAGTGTCTGAGGAGGTGTCTAGAAGGTGTCTAGGAGGTGTCTAGGAGGTGTCTAGGAGGTGTCTAGGAGGTGTCTAGGAGGTGTCTAGGAGGTGTCTAGGAGGTGTCTAGGAGGCGTCTAGGAGGTGTCTAGGAGGTGTCTAGGAGGTGTCTAGGAGGTGTCTAGGAGGTGTCTAGGAGGTGTCTAGGAGGTGTCTAGGAGGTGTCTAGGAGGTGTCTAGGAGGTGTCTAGGAAGTGTCTAGGAGGTGTCTAGGAGGTGTCTAGGAGGCGTCTAGGAGGTGTCTAGGAGGTGTCTAGGAGGTGTCTAGGAGGTGTCTAGGAGGTGTCTAGGAGGTGTCTAGGAGGTGTCTAGGAGGCGTCTAGGAGGTGTCTAGGAGGTGTCTAGGAGGTGTCTAGGAGGTGTCTAGGAGGTGTCTAGGAGGTGTGTAGGAGGTGTCTAGGAGGTGTCTAGGAGGTGTCTAGGAGGTGTCTAGGAGGTGTCTAGGAGGTGTGTAGGAGGTGTCTAGGACGTGTCTAGGAAGTGTCGCCTCGACGTCCGAGTCACGGTGCAGCAGCGGCGGCGACGACTGGAACGGGTCTCGCAAGTAGACGACGTCGACATCCGAGAGGAGCACGTTGCAGCCAACCTTGAGCCACGGCACGAGCAGCCGAAACTTGAGGCCAGACGTCGAGTGGCCGTCGGTGCCGCCGCCCTTTGCGCGAAGGACGTGCTCGTGCGCCAGCGTGACGCCTCCGTGCTGCTGGACGTGCCTAGCCTCGGGTGATCTCGGGTAATCTCGGGTGATCTCGCCAGCGTGACGCCTCCGTGCTGCTGGACGTGCTTGGTCGTCGCTGAGTCGAGCGTGACGACGACAGAGTGCCGCACACCCGCGCGGCGCACGCCCTCCATGTACAGCGACAGCATCGAGAGGATGTTGCGGTTCGAGATGGCAATGAGGACCTGCCGAGGTGCAGACGAAGTACAGCCGAGGTGTAGCCGAGGTGCGGCCGAGATGAGCCGAGGTGCGGCCGAGGTGCGGCCGAGGTGCGGCCGAGGTGCGGCCGAGGTGCGGCCGAGGTGCAGCCGAGGTGCGGCCGAGGCTGCGACGGGGCTTCACCTCTCTCGCTCGCTCGTCCACCCCGCTCCGCCGCACCGTCTCGCAGACCGCCGCCAGCCCCCCGGGCCCGTCCTCCTCGTCCCGCCCGTCGCAGTTGGCGGGGAAGATCTCCTCCGCCTGCACGAGCGGGTCCAACCGCATCGCCGCCTCCGCCGGCGAAGCGGCGGGCGCGGCGGCGCAGCCAGCGGCGACGGCGGCTGCGGCGGACGCCTGCGGGGTCGACCAAATCGCGTCGTCGCGGAGCCCCTTCTGCGCGTCGCTCACCGTGCCCAGCGGGACGGTGGCGGAGGCGGGCACGGTGGCAGAGGCGGCGACGGTGGCTGAGGCGGGCACGGCCGCCCCGCCGCCGCCCAGCCTTGCGAGTTGGGCGGCTAGCCTCGACCGCACGCCTCTCAGCACGCCCTCTCTCAGCACGGAAGAGCTCGCACCGCCGCCACCGCCTCGGCTCCCTGCAGACAGCGCCTCGGCCGCCGCCGCCGTCACGAGACCCTCCGCCTCCGCCTCCGCGTCGCGGAGCGCCTACGGGGCTAGCTGGGCAGGTCCGGCCTTGGATGTGGGAGTGAGGCTGCGCTCTGCCGCCGCCGCCGCCGCCGCCGCCGACCCCGCCGCCGCCGCCGCCGCCGCCGCCGCCCCGCCTGCCGCCGCCGCGCCCGCCGCCGCGCCCGCCGCCAGCCGGCGCGCGAACGCGGCGGCCCCCCCGCCCGCGACAACGAGCGCCGACGGCGCCATCCCACGCAAGACTCGCTCGGCGCTCGCGAAGCAGTCGGGCCGCATCGCCCGCACCTGAACGCCTCCGCGCAGCACCCCGTCGTGGCTCGGGCCGAAGAGCTGCTCGGTGAGGGACGCGGCGCCCAGCCCTCCGCCCGCAGCCAACCGCTCCACCAGCGCCACGGCCTGGCGACTCGGCTGCAGCGAGAGCAGCGCAGGGCTGGCGTAGCTGATGCGCAGCGTCTCGGAGTAGCCAGACCACCCCATCGCCTCGTCTCCGGTGCCGTGGATGTGACCTCCCGCCGTCACCTCGTCCCACCCCTCGCTCAGCACCTCTACATCCGCGTCCCCGTACAAGCCGCCAAACGGGTCCGCGCCGAACCAAACGCCGCCGCCGCCGCCGCCGCCGCCGCCGCCGCTGAGCACCACACGCATCCCCGCCCGCAGCAGCGCAGCAGCGGCGAGGGGGGCGGTGACACCGCCCCCCGCCCCGTCCGCCGGTCCGTCCGCCGAGAAGGTAGGCACGCCGGCGTCGCCGCCAACCCGCGCCGCGGCGGGACCGGAGGCGAGCAGCAGCAGCCTCCGCCCTCCGAGCGCCCGCGCAGCGGAGGTGGTGGTCCTGTTGAGCGCGGCGAGGCCGGCGGCGGTGGAGGCGGAGCCGTAGACCAGCAGCAGCTCGCCTCTGCCCCCCGCCACCGCCTCTGCCAGGGAGCAGAGGGCGAGCTCTGCGGCGGCGCGGCTCGTCGCGTTGCACGGTCTGCGAGGCAGCAGGCCCTCCCTCCGCACCTCTTTCCAAGTCAGCCGGCCGTCTGGCGGAGGGGCGCAGAGGTGGGAGGGCGCGACGGACAGAGGCGCGGAGACGGCTGCACCGCGATCCGGGCCGGTGCTCACATGCCCAGCGAGCTCCGGAAGCGGCGGCGCGATTGGCCCAGCCCGCCTCTCGACCGGGTCAGCAGGTGTCGGTGCGACCGGGTCAGCAGGCGTCAACTTTGCTGCCGCAGAGGCAGCCGAACCAGACTCGTCTCGCTGGACCGCAAAGGTCTGTGGCGCGAAATGTGACGCCGGCTTGCTGCTGAGCGGGCCGCCAATCGAAGCAAGGGAGCCGAGCCACAGCAGCACAGCAGCGAGGGCGAGGGCAAGCGTCAGCCGAGCCTGGCGCATGCTCGTTTGGAGGTGGACGGGACTGCTGAGTATGAGCTGCTAGCGTCGTTGGCGACTGAGTATGAGTCTGCTAGTGTCGTCGCCGTGACGCCCACTCGAGTTGAGGGACGCACAGTGTTGCAACGTGCAACCGAACGATGACAACAGGGCTTGGTTGCCGAAGGGGTGGGGTAGGGTGTTGTTGCCGTGGGGGTATCTTCTTTCGGTGAGCCTTTTGCCCGGCGCGATAGTTCATCCCTTGCATCGAGCTGAAAAAGAAATTCCTGTGCGCCAGCCTTCCGCAAATGGAGCCTTCGCTGGCGGCGGCGGCGGAGGCGCCGCCTCCGCCGGCGGTCGGCGCTGCCCTCCGCCTGCTCGACCTCTCCGAAGACCTCCTACTGGCGATTTGCAAGACCCTCCAACTCGTTGACCTCTGCCACCTCGCCCGCTGCAACAAAGCCGTGCGGGCGCTTGCAAGCAACGGCTCCCTTTGGACCAGCATCAGCTTCCCACCCTCCTGTGCCGAGAAGCTTACGGACGGGATGCTGACCAAGCTGCTCGAGCGCGTTCAGGCCAAGCAGCACACGGTGACCGTCAGCCTCGCTGGCTGCACTCGCATCGACGGCAGCGGCCTTGAGCCGCTCCGAGGCTCGACTGTCCTGCGTACTGTCGACCTGCGCCGCGCCGTCTTCCGGAAGGGCCTCGTCAAGGCCACGCCCTTCGACGCCTCGGCCTTTGCCACACTCGAGTCGCTCGCTGCAAGCCTCGAGTCGCTGCGTGTCCTCAAAGAGGACCGCTACCCGATCCCAACAGGCCCTCTTTCTCTTGCCCGCCTCCGTGAGTGTGCCATGTGCGTTGAGGTGTCGGAGGCGGGAGCCGAGGCGGTGACACCTCCGAAGCCCCTTTCCGACGCTCGCCGCTGCACGCTCTGCATGCAAAAGTACTGCGAGCCTTGCAGCCAGGCATTCTTTCGCGGGTGCATCGATTGCGAGGGCACGTTCTGCTACCAGTGCGTCGTGTATGACACGTCGCACTGGCAGCCCGCGTACATGTGCGTCGAATGCAACGGCGGCGAGGAGACCTGACCAGATTGAGGGTCGGCGTGAATGTAGATGCATTGCCTCCACCGGCAGCGTGTCGACTCTACGTCAAAATTCACGCGTCCTGCCAACCTCTTGAAATGATGGCGGCCCTGCAGCCCTCCATTGTCGAGAATGGGGCCCGTCGGAGCAGGAGGTGTGGCCAGGCGCCACAACACACACATGTACCAGAGAGGTCTCCGAGCTTGAAGTGGCAATCGCTTGCGCGTTGCGGAGTTCAGGCTGAGCTGTTGATGAATCCATGTACTTTCGGAGGGGGAAGGCAAGGGAGGGGGAGGGGGGTCTTGATTCGTCGAGGAATCCTACTCCACAGTTGAGTATGTTCGCTCCGCGTGCGCGGCGCGCCGGGCGGGATTGTGTGTTCGGTTGTGTGTGTGGCGAAAAAGTACGTATGTACAATCGCGGAACCGAGAGAGCAGAGTCCAGAGAGCCGCGCCTCTTCCCCTCTAAGCCCTTGGCTAAGCGACTCATGCGAGTGCCAAAAACAAAAACGCCCCCAGTTCAAAGACCTCTCGACGACCCGGGTCTAGCAGAGTAGTCCTGCGGTCCGACGTCTACCTCTCCTTGGTCCTCGGCACCGGCTGCTGGAAGGCGCTGGTGGAGTAGTCGCTCGCGTGATTGCCCATCGGGATACCGCTCCCAGCCTGGCCGCCGCGCCATGCCGAGTTGCGAACGGGCGACGGCGGCCCACGCCCCTCCGTGAGCGAGCCGTCTGGCTGCAGATGCACGTTATTCCCCCGCCTCCAGCCGCTGTCCTTCACCGGGCTCGCTGGCCCACTCCCCTCGACGAAGCCGTCCTGGCCGGCCGTCGCCAGGTGGAGGTCGTTCGTGATGCGCCACGCGCTCTTGTTGACGTCTGACCCGGTGTGGTCCTCGCTCACCTGTGTGGAGACAGGGACGAGTTCTGATGCGTCATCCGGATGGAGCAACTGGCTTTGCTTAGATTGGGAGTCCTTTTGCTATGTGTTCTACGCGGGGAACTATGCCTCTTTTAGCCTCATCCTGCAGGCGATAGCCCAGCCCGCGTGCAGCGGTGGCGGCGACACTTGCAACACGAGCACGCCTCGCTTCGGCGCGCTCGATCCTTCACAACGGGCCGCCCGCAAGGACGCGTGTGCGGCCCTCTCTACTCGACCTGTGCCACGGCACGGGTCGTTCTAGTCATGCAGCCGCCCCGGCGATCGTGCTCGGGGCGTATCTCAGCACTCACCGCGCGAGACGCGTTGCGTGCCACAAACCAGTAAGCAGCAGCCTCCGCTGCTGCGACTCGAATGCTTCAAACGCGCACCTGTGCTTGCGCACGGCGTGCTCTACACGAGCCCCCCGGCCGCACGAGCGTACGGGCGGCTCGAATCCACCCTTCCCCCGCCCTAGCCACTGTTGGCTGGGCGGTGGGCGCCGTCCGCCTTGCGGCGGCGGCGACACTTGCAACACGAGCACACCTCGCTTCGGCGCGCTCGACCCTTCGCAACGGGCGCCCGCAAGGACGCGTGTGCGGCCCTCTCTACTCGGCCTGTGCCACGGCACGGGTCGTTCTAGTCATGCAGCCGCCCCGGCGATCGTGCTCGGGGCGTATCTCAGCACTCACCGCGCGAGACGCGTGGCGTGCCACAAACCAGTAAGCAGCAGCCTCCGCTGCTGCGACTCGAATGCTTCAAACGCGCACCTGTACTTGCGCACGGCGTGCTCTACACGAGCCTCCCTACCGCACGAGCGTGCGGGCGGCTCGAATCCACCCTTCCCCCGCCCTAGCCACTGTTGGCTGGGCGGCGGGCGCCGTCCGCCTTGCGGCGGCGGCGACACTTGCAACACGAGCACGCCTCGCTTCGGCGCGCTCGACCCTTCACAACGGGCCGCCCGCAAGGACGCGTGTGCGGCCCTCTCTACTCGACCTGTGCCACGGCACGGGTCGTTCTAGTCATGCAGCCGCCCCGGCGATCGTGCTCGGGGCGTATCTCAGCACTCACCGCGCGAGACGCGTGGCGTGCCACACAAACCAGTAAGCAGCAGCCTTCGCTGCTGCGACTCGAATGCTTCAAACGCGCACCTGTGCTTGCGCACGGCGTGCTCTACACGAGCCTCCCTACCGCACGGGCGTGCGGGCGGCTCGAATCCACCTTTTCCCGCCCTACCGACTGTTGGCTGGGCGGTGGGCGCCGTCCGCCTTGCGGCGGCGGCGGCACTTGCAACACGAGCACACCTCGCTTCGGCGCGCTCGACCCTTCACAACGGGCCGCCCGCAAGGACGCGTGTGCGGCCCTCTCTACTCGACCTGTGCCACGGCACGGGTCGTTCTAGTCATGCAGCCGCCCCGGCGATCGTGCTCGGGGCGTATCTCAGCACTCACCGCGCGAGACGCGTGGCGTGCCACAAACCAGTAAACAGCAGCCTTCGCTGCTGCGACTCGAATGCTTCAAACGCGCACCTGTGCTTGCGCACGGCGTGCTCTACACGAGCCTCCCGGCCACACGAGCGTGCGGGCGGCTCGAATCCACCCTTCCCCCGCCCTAGCCACTGTTGGCTGGGCGGTGGGCGCCGTCCGCCTTGCGGCGGCGGCGACACTTGCAACACGAGCACACCTCGCTTCGGTGTGCTCGATCCTTCACAACGGGCCGCCCGCAAGGACGCGTGTGCGGCCCTCTCTACTCGACCTGTGCCACGGCACGGGTCGTTCTAGTCATGCAGCCGCCCCGGCGATCGTGCTCGGGGCGTATCTCAGCACTCACCGCGCGAGATGCGTGGCGTGCCACAAACCAGTAAACAGCAGCCTTCGCTGCTGCGACTCCATGCTTCAAACGCGCACCTGTGCTTGCGCACGGCGTGCTCTACACGAGCCTCCCTACCGCACGAGCGTGTGGGCGGCTCGAATCCACCTTTTCCCCGCCCTAGCCACTGTTGGCTGGGCGGCGGGCGCCGTCCGCCTTGTTGCGGCGGCGACACTTGCAACACGAGCACACCTCGCTTCGGCGCGCTCGATCCTTCACAACGGGCCGCCCGCAAGGACGCGTGTGCGGCCCTCTCTACTCGACCTGTGCCACGGCACGGGTCGTTCTAGTCATGCAGCCGCCCCGGCGATCGTGCTCGGGGCGTATCTCAGCACTCACCGCGCGAGACGCGTGGCGTGCCACAAACCAGTAAACAGCAGCCTTCGCTGCTGCGACTCCATGCTTCAAACGCGCACCTGTGCTTGCGCACGGCGTGCTCTACACGAGCCTCCCTACCGCACGAGCGTGTGGGCGGCTCGAATCCACCTTTTCCCCGCCCTAGCCACTGTTGGCTGGGCGGCGGGCGCCGTCCGCCTTGTTGCGGCGGCGACACTTGCAACACGAGCACACCTCGCTTCGGCGCGCTCGACCCTTCACAACGGGCCGCCCGCAAGGACGCGTGTGCGGCCCTCTCTACTCGACCTGTGCCACGGCACGGGTCGTTCTAGTCATGCAGCCGCCCCGGCGATCGTGCTCGGGGCGTATCTCAGCACTCACCGCGCGAGACGCGTGGCGTGCCACACAAACCAGTAAGCAGCAGCCTCCGCTGCTGCGACTCGAATGCTTCAAACGCGCACCTGTGCTTGCGCACGGCGTGCTCTACACGAGCCCCCGACCGCACGAGCGTGCGGGCGGCTCGAATCCACCCTTCCCCCGCCCTAGCCACTGTTGGCTGGGCGGCGGGCGCCGTCCGCCTTGCGGCGGCGGCGACACTTGCAACACGAGCACACCTCGCTTCGGTGTGCTCGATCCTTCACAACGGGCCGCCCGCAAGGACGCGTGTGCGGCCCTCTCTACTCGACCTGTGCCACGGCACGGGTCGTTCTAGTCATGCAGCCGCCCCGGCGATCGTGCTCGGGGCGTATCTCAGCACTCACCGCGCGAGACGCGTGGCGTGCCACAAACCAGTAAGCAGCAGCCTCCGCTGCTGCGACTCGAATGCTTCAAACGCGCACCTGTGCTTGCGCACGGCGTGCTTTACACGAGCCTCCCTACCGCACGAGCGTGCGGGCGGCTCGAATCCACCCTTCCCCCGCCCTAGCCACTGTTGGCTGGGCGGCGGGCGCCGTCCGCCTTGCGGCGGCGGCGACACTTGAAGCGGTCGCGGCGCGTATGCGTCGTACTGTTAGGGCGGCCGGGCCCGAAGACGGCCCGGCCAGGCTCTGCATAAGGCCATCTTCGCCACAACGCGTGGCATTGGTCCAACTACGGCAACCCACAGCGAGGGGGGCCGCTTAGGCGACCTTGCTCACATCAGCTGCATATGCTTCAGTGGTGCAAGGAGGAGTGGAGAGGGACGGTGTATGGCCCAAATCCAATGGGGGCAGCACGTACCTAGTTGTGCGCATATGCGTACGCGACCGTTTTGGAGCGCGGGGCGGCGGCGTCGATAGATATCGACGCCGCCGTCGCCGCGCATCATGACGAGTTCGCATTCCCCATGTGACCCTCTATACCTCACCTTCGAGACAAGCCAGGGTTCAACCCAATGGACCTAGTGTGGCGTCGAGGCCCGCACTGTCTGGACATGCGGGCCGCGGCTGACAGAACGGCGGGCTAGGCATTGAGAGCCCAGGAGTTTTAATCTTTTTCTCGCGAGACTTTTTGGCGAGTAGAGACCACGCCTCACTTTTTCACAGGGGGGGGGGGGGGTCCGTCTGCTTTTCGCTGCGCATGCCCGAGCCCTCGGCGAGGGCTTGTGTACTTGTTACGTGAAAACGGACCCGGACGCCAGCACAGCTTGTGCTGTGAATAGCAGGCGTGGCTCTACTCGAGTACTCGCCAGGTCTTTGCCGGTGTTTGGGCCAGTGCGCGCCAGTCCCGTGCCCAGTGGCGTGCGAGTGGCGTGCAAGGGAGCTTTGAACATGGACGACTACATCCTCGACTGCTGCGGGAGTGGCGTGGTTGGCTGCTGCGGCGCTGTCGGCCTTGTCCGTGACGGAGGTGCGCAGTCGTTTTGCCTGGACTGCGTGTACGAGGACAACGGCTGCGACGCTGTGACGCTGCTGTCGCACGTCGAAGAACTGCTCGCGGCTGGGCATCGCGTCCTCGAGGAGGCGGCAGGCGGTGTGGTTCGATGTCTGACCGTAGGCCAGGCGCTGGAGGCTGCGCGTGCGTACGCCGCTCTCTGTCCTCCATTCATGGACTCGACCGGCGGTCGCGAGTGGGACTGCAGCCGCTGGCTGACCGCCCTCCTGTCGTGCGAAGCGGGCCGGCGCGCCGTCGGTCTGCCTGCCGCGCCGCAGAGAGTGCTCGAGCTTGGCGCCGGGACTGGCGACTTGGCTCTCGCACTGGGGAGCAATCCCGGCTTTGCGGCGGCGCTGCGGGAGTACCGCGTGACCGACGTCGAGGGCCGCGTCGGCGCGATCCGCGCACGCATCGCTCAGCGCGGGCTCGAGGGAGTGATCTGCGCGGCGGAACTGCTCTGGGGGACGGCCGTCGATGAGGCGTTTGACGTCGTCCTGGTGTGCGAGACGCTGCACTGGAAGGGCGACATGCCGGCGGAGGAGGACACCATCGCTCCCCTCGCGGCGACGATCGCGAGCGCCTGCCGAGGCAGGCCCACAGTCGCGCTGCTCGCCCACAGGGAGCGGTGCGCGGAGCGGGAGGCGTCCTTTTATGCGATGTGCCGCCGCAGAGGGCTCGCGACGGAGCAGTGCACCTCCGCCGCCGGCCTCTCCTATGCGCCCGCCGAGCCGCACGACCCGGGTGTGCGGGGCCGGCTCGTGCTGATGCGATTGCGGGATAGTGGCGAGGCGTGCGAGGTGGACGAGGGGTGACGGACCAGGGGTGACACGTGTGTTGTGACCTGAATGACTGAGACCGGGAAAGCTCTTCCACCTTTTGGTGATTGTGCGCTGATATTGCTGATGCGGAATGCGGTGTATCGTAACAGGCCCTCTAACAGCACTAGTCTGTAGTAAGTTCTGTAGTCAGCTCTAAGTCTCGCCGGGTCATTTTAAAAAAACTGTTCAGTTTTCAAAGGCAAAAACGCCAGCCTACGCCCTCCCCTCACACTGACACTTCTCCCCTATTCCCGTCTTTAGGTTGCGCACATCTCCCAGCGAGCTAGGTTCTCCGCTTTTTCTCCCCTAGTCATCTGCCCGCGCCGCGCGCCTCTGTGGGCGTCTAGTGCAGCCACTGACAGAACTATTCCCGAGGAGTGGTCGACGTCTCGCCTGAGTCGGGTGGGCTCGCGCACTGCTTAGCCCTAGGGGAGGGGTGTGTGTGAGGTGTCGGAATGGTAAGGTTTCAGGCCGCCAAGGTGTGGGGGATTTGGGGGATGAGTCAGGAGCCAGCAGCCTTCCTGCTGGACCTGAGTTCACAGCTCCTCCGCCCGACGGGGTGGTCCCTTGGATTCGGGCCCCGCTCCCTTTTCCTGCGCCTGGTCTGTCCCTGTCAAGTGTGTGTTGCGAGATGCAGAGCTGGTTAGGCTGGAGCGCGGGCGGTGCGGTGGCAGGCGAGGGCAGCGCGGTAGGCGAGAGGCGGCAGCGGGGCTTCGAGTGGCGCGATAGGAGGGTAGGCTGGCTGTGGAGGGGCGCCGCGTGGCCTCGGCAAATGAGTAGTGCTTTATGAGCGGCCAGTTTTGTGCGTATTGCATATCGAGCCTGCGGTGTGGCCTAGTTGGTGCAGCGTTCGGGTCGGGGACGTTTTGGTCGTTGGTTCGAGCCCAGCTGGTGCAGTTCGTAGTCGCGTAGCGCGCGGGTGCGCGGCAGCCTCGGCAACCGAGGCGACAGTGGCGAGCAGGGGCGAGCAGGGGCGAGCAGGGGTCAGAGCAGTGCGGCGCGCCGAATTTTTTTCGATGGGCTCGGTCAGTGGGCGTGTCAGGAGGCGGCCGGCCGGGAGAAACTCGGCAGTAAAACTCCCGCGCCGGCCCAGGAGGTGGGAGTGTCACGGAGGCGGCCATTGGCGCGCGCTCCTTGTCTTCGTGGTCCGAGTTTTTCTCGCCGGGTCATTTTTGTTTCTCTCAAACCGCCGCCGCCACAGCGTTCAGAGAATAACGCGTCGTCGGACGCGCCCCCGCGACAGCTTTACACGACCACGTGGTTGATTTGCTGCTGAGAGGAGGTGGTGACACGATGCACCGTCGCATCCTACAGAAGTATGTTCGAGATTGGCAGGCGGGCTTATCGGAGGAGAAGCGGGCGAGATTTGCGAGCCTTCAGACGCTCTTGACGTCAGCCTGAGTTTTGCGATCTTGTGGCGAGATTTGTGCATGAAGGACACGAATACCCTGAAGGAGTCGACCCTGAGGTGCTCAAAGTCCTTTTACGAGCAGCCGCCTCGAGCTACAAGCAGATATTGCCCAATGAGAGCACCGATCTTACAAACAATCTCCCGATCGAGGGGTCCCGTACCATGCGGAACCGACCCTATCCAGTGCTCAAGTGCTCATCTCCCGATCTTACCCCCGTGCCCGCCTCGGGATGGATTCTGCTGGAGGGATGGGAGGACGGCACGCCGCCACCACACAGGGATTGAGAGAGAGAAAGAGAGAAGAGAGCAAGAAGCTTCGGTTTCTTTGCTCCCCGGCCTGGAAAGCGCCCGCGGTAAACGTAACTGCGCCAATCGCCTTGGAACGCAACGCGCTCTCTCGCTCTCGCACTCCGAGGCGGCCGCGCCATGCCGCTCCTACTCGAGCTGCGACTTGGCTTGATCGAGCTCGTCCTCACGGCGATCTGGGTTATTTTTGCTGCGGGCGCGACACCAGCCGCACTCTGGTCCTGCCTCTCTCAGTGCGCCAACGGCCCGTATCCGCCGTCCCCACCGCCTGTGGTCGCCGCATCGCCGCCACCGATGATGATGCCCGGCATGGATGCGGCATCGCCGCCTCCGATGAGCATGGGCATGGACACGTCCCCGCCGCCGATGGATATGGGCATGGACGCGTCCCCGCCGCCCATGGGTATGGGCATGGACATGGGCGACATGGGCGTGGGGAGGCGGCTGATGGATATGGGCATGGGCATGTCCATGGGCGGCGCCGAGCCGGAGCCCGAGCCCGAGCCCAGCGGCTCAATGTCAATGGGCGGCATGGGCGGCATGGCATCGGGCTCGATGTCGATGAGCATGTGCCCCCCGCCCACCGTTGTCATCGTCGAGGGGCTGATCGCCGGCTTTGCCGCCGCGGTGACCATGGCCCTCTCGTACAAGGCAGCCCACGCGGGGATGGATGGGCACACACTGTGCAGCGGCGGGCACTTCAATATGGCGGTCACGCTCGGTCTCGCACTGCGCGGTCTCGTGACGCCCCTCCGGCTGCTCGTTTACGCCGTGGCGCAGCTGACGGGCGCCGCGCTCGGCGGTGCGCTTCTGTACGGCACCTACTCTCACGGCTGCCTCTGGGACGCGTACCACACCACTGCCTACGAGCAGGGTCCGCTCAAGGCCGACGGCCACCGCGTGCTGCTCTCGGCGTTTCTCAGCACTATCGTCGTCCTCGTGCACATGTGGGCGGGCCAGAAGCTCGGCAGCATGGCGTGCCCCATCCTGATCGGCTTCACCTACATCGCCGCGACGATGATGTCCAACGCCGCTGCCAACCAGGGCAGCTTCAACCCGCTGCGCGCGTTTGGCGTGGCGAGCTCCGGCGGCATCGACTGGGACGACGGGCCGCAGTGGATCGACTGGATCGGCTCGCTGCTCGGCGCCGCGGCCGCGGCTCTGCTCGACGTTCTCATCTACGAGCCGCGCCTCTGGCGCTGCGATGGCGCCGGCCCAGTCGCCACCAAGGAGGTGGAGGACCCGAGGCACGAGCACGTGTCGGAGCCCGAGGTCGTGTCCCATGCGTGACGGCTGCCCTTCGCTATTTACAAAAGGGAAAAAGAAGAAATTTTCTCCCTCCGGCACACCTGTAGGCTGAACACGTCCCCAAATTTGGCGATTTGGCCGCGCCATTTCGGCGGCCGTCGGTCAAAAGTAAAAGGAGCTCCCGTCACGCGCGGCCCTTGTGGCCTCGCAACGTCTGAGAAGCACACCAAACTCTCTCGCACGAGAAAAAGAAATTTTCTCGGCCAAGCTTCGGCCCTTGCTTGTTGCATCCCTCCCTTGCAATGTGTGTTTTCTTTCTTTCTTTCACTTGTTGCGGGCCACCAAGCACGAGCTCAGGGCCACATTCTTCCTGTCGCCCCCCCCAGCACTCCAAGGTGCCAAGAGAAACAAACAAGGGCACAACAAACAACAGACGACAGGAAGCAACGTGCGAGGCTAGAGCAGGCTTGCTCGTCCTCTAGCAATCTCCGCCGACCGCGAGGCCGGACTAGACCGTGTGTGGGGTCATGCGAGGTGTCTCTGGTCACTCTCCTCAGGGGCTAGCCGCCAGCGGCCAGCCCTATCTCGCACTCACTGGCGGTGACAATTCTATGGGTGAGGGTACGCGAGCAGAGGTGCGTGAGCCGATTCTCGATTCTGAAGCGCACCCAGCGAGCGCGGGTCATACTGAGTACTTTTTTTCGGATTTCGCACGGCCTACCGGCTGTGTGTTCGAGCGAATGCTGCGACCTGGAGCGCCCAGCTCCTCCAGCCACGACTTCTTGGCTCAGGCTGCCGAGCGAGCGCGTCGCGCGCACGCCGCCGCCCTCGCGCACGCCAGCGCCGGGCTGCCAATGCCTCCGCCGCCGCCGACGCCGCCGGCCGTTCCCTCTCCCACACTGCCTGCCGCCGCTGGCCCATCCACCTCCAGCGACGGCGGGCGCAGTGCGGCCAAGGAGACGCGGGAGCGAGGTGCAGCGCGGCGCGGCGTCGAGAGAGCGGCTAGCGGTGCCGCCGCCGCAGCTGCCAGCCAACGGCCGCTACCGCCGCCAGCGGAGCCGAGGTGGCGAGCCGAGCCTGCGAGCCGAGGCGGCGCGGCGGCGGGTCGCTCGCAGGCGCCACCGCGCGAGCAGGGCCGGCCCCCGCCTCGCGGCAGCGCCCCGTCCGCCCGCCCGCCCGCCGCCTCTCCGCCGCGCCAGCCTCGCGCGCCCGCCGCCGGCTCTCCAAAGCCGGCGGCCGAGCCTGCAACCGCATTCGGGTCGTCAGCAGTGCCGCACGCGCGGAGGGAGGGGCGGCCGCCGCCGCGCAGCGTGACGCCCGAGGAGCGTGCGGCCGCCGCCGAGCTGCTCCGCCAGCGCGCGCGCTCCGCAGCCGCGGCGGCGGCGGCCACCGCCGCCGCCGCCGCTGCCGCCACACCGGTTGACGCGACGACGGCGCCGGCGGTTGCGTTTGGGGTCAGCGCGGCGCGGACAGCTCCGCGGGCGACGCGAGACGCGGAGTCGGCGGCGGTGGCTGCGGGCGCGCCGGCGCGCAAGCCGAGCGCCGACGAGCGCGCCGCGGCGCGCGCGTGGCTGAGCGAGAAGCGAGAGGTGCAGGCGCGGAGGGCAAAGGAGGTGCCGCCCTCCTCCTCCTGCCTGTCCCCGCCCTCCTCACCCTGTCCCCGCCCTCCGCACCCTGTCCCTCCCCGCCTGGCCGCAAACTCCGGCCAGCTTACCTCTCCGCCGTCGCTGCCTCCACCTATGTCACCGCCTACCTACCTCCCTCATCCGCCCTCGCGCCTCGCCACCCCGTCCTCCACCCTAGGGTCCATACCTGCGTAGGCACGCGCACCTTCCTGCCTCCGTCCCTCGCCGCTCGCTCCATGCTTAGCGCATGTCGCAGGCGGGACGGCCGGCAGACCAGCAGGGAGCAAGTCTCAGGGGGAGGCCGAAGGCGTTAGAGGAGAGGCAGGAGGGCGGCGGCGCGCTCCGCCGCGGCGCGTGGCGAGGCGGCGCGCCGAGCAGCGGAGCAGAGGCGCGCCGACGCCGCCGCGGCAGCGCACGGGGCGAGGGAGGAGGCGGAGCGGCGAGGCGGCGGCGGCGGGGCGGCGACGGGGCGGGAGGCAGGTCGCGGGTCTGGGGGCGGCGGCGCTCCCTCGTCAGCGCCGCGGAGGAGTCACTCTTGGGAGGAGGAGCCGGTGCGGGGCAGAGGCGCGTACCACCTGCCCGAGGAGGAGGGGGGGGAGGCGAGCACTGCGGCCGGCGGAGGCGCAGGCGGAGGCGCAGGCGGAGGCGCAGGAGGCGGGAGCGCAGGAGGCGGCGGCGGAGGGGCAGGAGGAGGCGGAGGAGGAGGAGGCGGAGGCGGAGGCGGAGGAGGAGAGGCAGGAGGAGGGGCTCCCTCGCAGCTGACACCACACAGCTTCGCGCGCAAGGGCCGGCTGCTGCGAGGCGGGTCCGGCGCGGACGCGGATCTGGCTGGCGCGGGCGGCGGCGGCGGCGGAGGCGGCGGCGGCGGAGGCGGCGGCGGCGGAGGCGGAGGCAGAGGCGGAGGCAGAGGCGAGGCGGTGGACTTGGCCGCGGAGCTAAACGAGTTGCTCGGCTCGGGTGAAGGGGAAGAGGAGGCGGCGTCGGCCGAGAACGACGATGGCGGCGACGATGGAGGAGGAGGCGGCGGCGGCGGCGGAGGAGGCGGAGGCGGAGGCGGAGGCGGCGGCGAGTGTGGAGGGGTGGGGTATGTCGGTTCGCTGCGCTCTGGGCCTCTGGCGGTGGAAGAGCTCGCTGCCGAGATGCTGAGGCGCGTGCAGTCCCAGCTACCGCGGCCGGCCGCCGCCGCCGAGGAGGAGGAGGAGGAGGAGGAGGAGGAGGAGGAGGAGAGGGCTGCCGACGAGGAGGGGAGGGCGGCCGAGGTTGCGGAGGGTGCGGAGGGTGGCGGAAGGTGGCGCGGCGCAGACGAGGAGGAGGAGGCGGAGGAGGGGGGGGGGCGGGCAGGAGGGGCGCGAGGCGGCAGCGGAGGCGGAGCCGCTGGGGGCTCGGCGCAGCTCGTGCTGGCGCAGCTCGGGCTGGCGGGGCGCGCGACCTTCGAGGAAGTCGGCGACTCCTCTTCTCCGCTCGAGGCCAGGCAGCCGCAGATCGAGGCGCGTCTCCCGAGATCACTCGAGATCACTCGAGATCACTCGAGATCGCTCGAGGTCGCCCGAGCTCACCCAAGGTCACCCAAGGTCACCCAAGGTCACCCAAGGTCACCCAAGCCTCACCCGAGGCTGCCTCTTCGCAGGAGCTGCTCGCGCGCGCCGAAGCCCGCCGCGGCTCCGCTCTCGCCCCGGCGCCGCTTAGCCCGGCTTCGCGCGGAGGCGTGGGTGCCGCCGCCGCCGCCGCGGCGCCTCCTCTGCTCCGCGATCCGACGTCGGTGGTGTCCGCCTTGGCCATCCGGCTCGGACAAGCTGCCGACCCGGCCGCCGGCGCGGCGCTCGTCCAGGCCGCGCAGAGGGAGGCGGCGGCGGCGGCGGAGGCGGCGGCGGCGGCGGTGGCGGCGGTGGCGGCGCGCCGCAGCGAGGGGTTCGCGGGAGACTCGACGAGCGAGGGCGCGACCAAGATCGCCGAGCTGCGGGCGCACGTCGAGGCGCTCTCCGCCGCGATCGAGGAGTACCCGCACGGCGGCAGCCCCGCCTCCCCCGCCGCCGCCGGCGAGCGGTCCTCCTCGACTACTCCGCGGTGCGACGAGCCGCCGGGTGAGGCCGACCCGGCGGCGGCGGCGGCGGCGGCGGCGGCGGCGGCGGCGGCGGCGCTCTCCGGCGCCCCTGAAGCGGAGGTTGCTTCGGCGGGAGGCGCGGTGGCGGCGGCGGGCCGGCCTCCGTCAACGGCGACTGGGGCGGCTGCTCAGCCGCGAACTGGACTTGCAGGACTCTTTTGCCGCCGCTGAGGGATGGAGACACGAATAAGCATGAAGAATTCGCGATGGGGGATGGCTCATAGGACTCTCTAGCGTCGGCCGAGCGCCGCTTCGACGCCCTGCAGACGCGCAGGGAGGGCGCGCAGGCGCAGGCGGAGGCGCAGGCGGAGGCGGAGGCGGAGGCGGAGAGGAGGGCGGCGATCGAGGGCCTCCGCGTCGACCTCGCCGCTCAACGGCGCGAGGCAGAGGCGCGGCGCGGCGCGTGGCCCGGGCCAGAGCAGCGTGGCGCGCCCTCCTCCTGTCCGCCCCCCTTCCTTCCCGCGGCCGCTGTGCCCGCACTCTCCGAGGCGATGCCGCCCGGCCTCCCCGCCGTGTGGCCGGCCAGCGTGGCGGACGTGCCGCCCGGCTCTCTCGGCGCATCGGCCGTGTCACCGGTGGTCGCCGTGCCGCTGCCAGTCTACTGCGCGAGCGGCGCCGCCTCGATGCGGAGAGAGGGAGATCTGTCCTCGACGCGTCCCCGACGTGTCCCGCGACACGCCCCTGCAGGCGTCGCTTCGATGCCGAGCGAGGGACTGAGGCTGGTGGTCGAGGGGCCTCCCCTAGGCCCGCCCGCCACCGGCGAGGGCGAGGCGGCGGCGGAGGCGCGGTATGAGGCTGGCATAGCTAGATGCCGGAGAAGCAGATCCGCGTCTCCCCATACCTCCCCACACCTCGAGGCTTGGATGCCCGAGAACAGATCCGCGTCTCCCGACCAGCGCTCGAGAGGGCAAGTGCTCCACTGTTGCCGCTGTGCTGTACTCGGTCCGACTCCGTGCGCACGCGACGCTCCGAGGACACTGCGCCTTTTCGCACTCCCCCCCCTCCACCCACCCTCCACTCCTGGTGAAATGGTCAACTTCGGGTGACTGATGACGGCTCTCTGCTGTGCCGTCAGGTGGCCGTCCCTCCGTCAGTGCCGGTGGGCGGCAGCTTCACCGCGGACGTGGGTGGCTCGCTCCGCCGGGTCGACTATCCCTCCCGACCTCGACCCTCTTCCTATTCACACCCTCTACCCCGCTGAGCTGTGAACAGGTCGACGTCCCTCCCGACCTCGACCCTTCCTCTGGCGACTTGCGTCTCGTCGTCGTCGCAGCGCCGCCGCCCGCCCCCGCCGAGGCGGGGCAGTGGGTGGTCGAGGCGCCGCCGCACCTGCCCGCCGGCGCGTCCTTCTACGCCAACGTCGGCGGCGCGGTCATGCGCGTCGTCGTGCCGCCCTCCGCCTCCGCCTCCGCCTCCGCGCCGCCCGCGCCGAGGCGAGGCCACTTCCCAGAGCGGCGCGGCGCGGGCCGCCGCCGCAGCGGCGCCCGCCTCCGAGGAGGCGGCGGAGGCGGAGGCGGAGGCGGAGGCGGAGGCGGAGGCGGAGGCGGAGGCGGAGGCGGAGGCGGTGTGGGCGGGGCGAGCCTGGAGTTGGACGTCGGCGGCAGCGGCGGCGGGGAGGACAGCGGGCGAGCCGACAGCGACGGCCCGGAGAGCGGCACGACCTCGCTGACGGATGAGTTGGTGACTTCCTAGACACCTCCTAGACACCTCCTAGACAGCTCCTCGACACCTCCTAGACACCTCCTAGACACCTCCGAGACACCTCCGAGACACCTCCGAGACACCTCCGAGACACCTCCTAGACACCTCCTAGACACCTCCTAGACACCTCCGAGACACCTCCTAGACACCTCCGAGACACCTCCTAGACACCTCCTAGACACCTCCTAGACACCTCCTAGACACCTCCTAGACACCTCCTAGACACCTCGCTGACGGACGAGCTGGTGAGCCGCCCGGCTGCACCGACGCTCCCCCGCCTCCCACCGCTGCGCGGCGTCACGGCGGCACTGAGTCTCGTAGGGCGGGAGCCTCGACTTGGGCGACGCCTCCTCGTACGAGTCGTTGCTCGCGACCGACTCGGACGCCTCCGCCTCGCTGCGCCCCCCGCCACGCGGTGCGGCGGTAGGCCGAGCCGGTCCGCCCGCCGCGCCATCGGTGGAGCCACGCGCTGCTGCTGGCGCTGTCCGAGAGGAGCCGAGAGGAGCCGAGAGGAGCCGAGAGTAGGTGGAGCACGCGCTGCTGGCGCTGCTGCTCGAGGAGAGGGCGGCGGCGGGCGGAGGAGGGTCGGCGGGCGCGATGCTCTCCTCGCAGGTTCTCGCCAACATCACAAACGCTGCCGACGCGCCCGCGCCGACCGCATTCGGCGGCGGCGACGGCGGCGGTGACGCGGAGGCGCGGATGGAGGCGTGGCGGAGGCAGGACGCTGCGGCGACGGCGCGCCGCCGCGTCTCGGCTGCGGGGGAGCCTTCTCGGAGAAGTCTCTCCGAGAGATCTCTCCGAGCTGTCCTGCAGGCGCGAGCTGCGTCCCGGCTTCGGCGGATCCGCAGATCGTCGCGCGAGAAGGCAAATTATTATTATTATTATTATTATTATTATTATTATTATTATTATTATGTCGCGCGAGAAGGCAAAGGAGCTGACCCGAGATGGCCAGAGATGGCCCGAGATGGTCGCCCGCAGATCGTCGCGCGAGCACGCCGTTATCCGGTCGTTGCAGGCAAAGGCGGCGAAGCATGCCGTTGTGCGGTCCCTCCGCCGCGAGCGCGAGCGCCTCTCCGCCGCCTTCCGGCCGAGTGGCGCGCCGCCGCCGCCCGCGGGCACTGGGCCGGCAGCAGGCGAACAGCCGTCACTCCCTCCGCCCTCATTGCCGCCTCCCATGCCGCCACCACCCTCGCTGCCGCCGCCCACCTCACCCCCGCCTTCGCCACCGCCTTCGCCGCCTCGTTCGCCGCCGCCCAGCGTTGCCGCCGCCCTCACCGCCGCCACCCTGACCGCCGCCGCCCTCACCGCCGCCGCCCTCACCGCCGCCGCC